ACCACAACTGAGACCATCCAGTAAGAGAATCACTAGACCCGGCGTCCAACAGATCACAAAGGCTCCTGTAGAGAAAAAAATAAAAGTGTGAATGTGAAAACCACTGCAGCCTGCAAAGTGCAAACCAAGTCTTGCATCACCTTGCAAGATGCTTTATAGAGTAAATGCGGTTACATTCTGTGAACAATTAACACGTGTATATTTTTAGTGGGCAATGACATTTCACGACATACAAGGTGGAATTGTCACACACACACACACACACACACACACACACACACACACACAGAGACAAACCCGTGCCTGATGTTAACGTCACTTTCAATACAGTTTCAATTTAATGACTCAAACGTAATGTAAAAATGAACAGTAACATTCTGCAATAAGTGTCACAAACTAACAATGACCAATATTTTTTTTGCCAGCATTTCATTTTTATAAAGTTTAGGGTCAGTATGATAAGATGAATACTTTTATTCAGCAAAAATGCATTAAAGATGATCAAAAGCGATAGTAAAAAAGCTATAAAAAAAGTTACAAAAGTTGTTTTTTGTTTGTTTTTTAAAAAATCAGCTTTGCAATCACAGGAATAAATAAATTCCATTAAAAAATATATTAAATTATAGAACAGCTGTTTAAAATTGATAAAATTGTTGTTTTGCTGCATTTTAAATAAAATAACTACAGCCTTGGTGAGCAGCATAAGAGACTTATTTCAAAAACACACACACACACACACACACACAAATATATATATATATATGAATGTATGTGTGTATATATACACACACACACACATATGATTTATGCAGCACAATGTTACAAAATTATTAGTATATGTAGATATGAACATTAACCAAGATCAATAAATGCTGTAAAAGTTTATAATAACTAATGCATTAAATAATGTTAACAAAATGAACTCTTATTGTAACAATAGTAACATATTTCCCTTTACACTTTGAATGTGTGCTCATATCATACACTTCTTAAGAAACATATTAAACACAATGTTTACATTTATTTGTATATACAAATATCATTAATTAATAAATATCACCACATGCTGTTTTACAACCTGAACTAATCTTTCCTTGTCAAAGTTCAATTATTTCATATTTTAAGATATTTATTATAGACCATTTTTCCTGCATCATTTTTTGTTACGTTTTTTAATATAAATGTTGACTCCCATTTCAAGGTACTCGTTAGAATATTTTATACACATTTAATTATTCTTCAGAATAAGTGTATAAATCATTCACTACTATATTATATAATGTATAAATTGCATTTGATTTTTTATGGACACTTCCTCAAAATAACACCATGTGCTCACACCACTTCAGTTAAATCCACAACCTACAGCCTTAGGGTAACTTAAATAACCGATTCCTGTTCGAGGTACAAAAACAAGCGAGTGCTTGACAAGCAAATCTGTGCCAAACCGGTTTGGTCAACTTGTTTTGGGGGTTGACAGACTTGTTTGTCCTAAAAACAAGTTTACAGTACTTCTACAGTTAGAGACACAAAAAAAGGTTTCAGAAGAGTTTCACTCAGACGGAGTAATCTCCCAAACGCCCGAAGTCTACACAAGAGTCAAGGCCTTACCCAGAATCATGGACATGGTCTTCATGAGGCTGATAACGGTCTGGTTGTGCGTGGGCTGATCCGTGTGAGGCGACATCAGTCGATTCCGGCGGCGGACGTAGATGAAGATGTGCGTGTAGACGGCCACCATGATGAAGAAGGCCAGGAGGTTGAGGACCGCCCAGAACACTAAGAAGCTGCGGGAATACAGCGGCGCTACCGTGGAGCAGGTCGTCAGGTCACAAACACAGTTCCAGCCCATGGTGGGCACCAGACCCATGACTACGGCCACCAACCAGATAAAAACTATCAGCATCACCACACGCCACTTGGTCATGGTGCTGTGCAGCTGCATGGTGAAGATGGTCTGGTGGCGCTCCACTGCCACGGCCAGCAGGTTGACCACAGAGGCGGTCAGGCTCATGTTGATCAAAGCCCCACGGACGAACCACTCTTTGATGGACAATTTGATGGTCCACGGCCCCGTGTGGAACACAAGGTAGAGATACGAGATGCCGGCGAAGAGGTCAGCGGCAGCCATGTTCCCAAGTAAGTAATAAATGGGAAAGTGGAACTGTCGGTTGATGATTACGGCCGCTATGACCAACATATTTGCCAGAATAATAAAGATGCAAATCGGGAGCCCGAGACCGACCACCACATAGTCATGCGCGCGCCAGTCAGCACTGATGTTCTTGCCAGTCTTGTTGTAGAAGTAGTACACTGGATTGTCATAAGCCTCGCAGGTCGAATTGAATAGCATTATTAGAGACATTCATTCATGTAGATCCCTTGAGCTGTTCAGTTGTTGCCTAGTTTGGCCAGTTCTCCCTGATGCTGTAGTCCTAAAGATGCGATTAGCCACCATTTGAAATTGTGCTTTTACATATCAAAAGTGTGCCAATGTTGCTGCTTACAAGGCGTGTCTTTTATTGTTTTCCAACCCTAAAACACAGGAAGCATGAGGACAGCATCGTTATTTGTCCGTACAAGTCCAAGACAAGTGGAAAAGTTAATCTTTAACAAGGGAATAGGGGAAATGACGATAACCAGTTTTCATTGGACACGCAACACGCAAGCATTTATTTTAACAAATTGACACTTTAAAAATTAACCCCAAAGTACTAAACGGGGGAATGACGTTTTGCCCCATTACAATCCCAACTGCTCTTAACATATCAGTTTTAGAGATGGCATCAAGAGAACGGGAAATAAAACTGGTTGCGGTTAAAGAAATGTTTAGTGAAACCTAGACGCAACAAATCTACTGCAGAAACACGCGGAATTTATTGGCCCCTGCAGTGTTACACTGTACAGTTTGGCTCGGTTGTCACTCGGCACAAAAACAACAGCTACTTTCTTCTAAAACAACACTAGGGAAACACACTTACCGTTGCCAGAGTTTTAGAGCAAACAAAGAAAAGACACATAATAACAGCAGCTGTGTCGATGTTTTGGCACTCGCCGCCGGAAACGCTCATCTGGCGGAGGAGTTCGGTGAGAAATCTTGATCTTCGAGAGGAACAAGAGAGGACTGAGAGATCCGCAGATCACACCTCCCTCAAACCTGATTTGACGGAATCACTGCCCCAAGATCCAATGAACACGAGACTATTGTTCAAAACCTTTGACGAAAGGTTTAGAAACTAGATATTGGATTCATTTCCCAGAATTTTGCACACAGAGTGTATGGCAAGCCGTTTTTATAATTATTCCTTAATCCAATTTATCACTATTTTATGTCAGTTGCATTAGATAGTAGGCTACTTATTCAGTCACTCATAATAACTATTCCAAATGTTACAGTGTCAATCTTAAAGTTTGTTATTGGGGCACAACAGGGCTAAGAAAAACTGTTGATTTAAGCTTGAACAAAACTGAAAATCATTAAGACATTTATCTCAAAATATATTCAATAATTTTAGTGATTTTCATTTGCTACTTAAACCTACAACATAAAAAAAAACACACATTTATGATCAAATTAGCACAGAATCAACTTTGCACTGCTGTCTGCGATCGCGTCAAGGATCAGCCAAATTTCCATGTGCATCATGAAAAGCATCTAGTGGTTTAGAGGAAAATCAAATTACCCCGGTGCGCCTTTAGTTCCGCTGTACCCTACAAATTGACTAGTCACTAGACAGTATTACATATTTACTAGACACTAAAATGTTAGTTATATTTTAATTAAATTATAAAGTAGACATTCTGACATATGACAAGTAAAGTGGCAATTAAGACAGGTAAAAAAATTTTTTTTACTAGCAACAACATGGAAAGATGGTGTCTCCAAATAAAAAGTTACTAGTACAAAAAGGATCATCAATTGAAATATGTAGTCAAAAGTGAACAGTTGATATCTGAACCACAGATCCTCAGAATTCAATAGCACAAATCCACTACTTGCTACCAGTAAAAATTAAATGTTACTTAACTTATAAGTATTTGGATGACTACTTTTATACTGTTATATAGCTTGCCACATGAGGTTAGCACATAACGAAAGTCACAGAGAAATAGATTTTACAATGATGACTGTGACTAGGACTTGTTAAAGAGTTCACAACAAAATGAATTTTTATTTAGAATTATTTTCTGGACGAAACACGACAGAAAACGAAAACACACAAAAAGATACATTTAGCAGAATGTCCTGCTCAGACTGTCTGGCTCCAAATCGTCATAAAACCATCATATAAGTACCATAAAAGTATTACAAAAGTAGTCTGTATGACACATGCACTATATTCAACGTCTTCCAAAGCAATATTTTATGTGTGAAACAGACTTAAAATTTCAGCTATTAATTGAAATAAATGTTAGCGATGACAGACTAAAATGGCCTTGAGAGAATGTCAATTGCATTGTGTAACAAAGGTTTCTGTTTTTAACTGTGACGTATCATAATCATAATCAAGAATCTGGGTTTTTCTCTATGAGAATATGTTTATTGTTGTCACTAATGCTGAGATAATTCAACACATTGAGCAGTTAACATGCCATCCAATACTCACAGGAATACAAAAAAAACCGGAACAAGGTATCAGGCATTTTGATGTGGTTATACTGTATTCAGTCACAATAAATATAAACAGATTGTAGTGACAAGCTTTTTTGATAACTATGTTGGATTTTCAGTTAAACAGCTCGCGGGAAAGACGCTATCGCACAGTTATGATATATTATGATATATACCATCCTTGAAGTCCTTATTTGTCAAAGTGTCTTGAATTGAAGATCTCATAAAATGCAATATTATATACAAGGAACAAATATGTCAAAGCTGAACTTAAACTTGAAACTTTGCATAGTTTCAAATATTTACTGAGATAACAAATTGTACAACATACATTTTCTCCCTCACCTTTGTTTTTTTAATTAATAAAAGACAAATCAGTCTAAAGGCTAGTGAAAATCTGAAACCTTGCCAAAGACAAAAAAAAATATTCGTCATTGCGCCAAGTGAACCAAAGGCAATCAATGATTGTGTTTTATGATGTCTTTATCCAGAACAAAGTCCCATATGAGTTTGTTGACTATCTCAGGTTGATCCTGCTGAACCCAGTGGCTGCATTCGGGAATCGTGTGAATGACGACGGGACCCCTTACGTAAGGCCTCGTTCCACCGGACATGCCCTCCACCAGTATATTGTCTGCCTCACCCCAAATTAACATGCAGGGCACACCAACATCCTGATGCTTGTACAGAGTGTTACTGTAGAAAGAGAGGTACACAGTAACCACTTTAAGCAATGCACTGCAGTTTAAGCCCATGATATAGAAATGGAAGTGTGCTGTGTTTTAAACCTGAGGAGAGAGCGGAAGTAGTTGAGAGGGGCTGTGAGACCTCCAGGCTGGGACAGCCGGTACAGGTAACCCTCCAGCTGGGACTCAGTCAGTCTGCTGGCTTTGTTCTTGATGCCCACGTTCGTGCCACAAAACAGACCTCGAACCAACTATGCACAGTGTTGGAGAAAGTTACTTTTAAAAGTAATCCATTATATTGCGTTACTCCCTTAAAAAGTAACTAATAGTTACTTTTTATGGAAAGTAACGTGTTACAGTACTTTCGCATTAGATTTTCTCACATGGGCTGGGTTTGCTTGTTCGTTTTTATTTATAAAAGCAAATGTCATGTAAATTCGAAGTCATTTTTGCTTATTATTATGGTTGAATTGGATCATCGAAGGTCAGCAGCAAAGACATTGGTTGATAAAGTGAGATTAAATACATGAAGTATATTTGTATTATTTAACATCTTCCACATAATAGTAATATTCTGAGTTTCAATTCATTTTGAGGAATACTGAATTCTGTTTTCTGAATCTGACAACACAGAGCTGTCAGTCAATAAATGGGAAAACAAAGTAACTTGCGTTACTTATGTGAAAATGTAACATATTTAGTTGAAAATTCAAAAGCAATGCGTTATTGTACTGGTTACTTGAAAAAAATCTGATGATTATAACTCGCATTACTTATAATGAGTTACCCCCCGACACTGCACATGACGGAAACCAGCTGTAACTATGAGACTGGGGATAGTGACCAAGAACGTGTATTTAGTGTTTCCTGTTACAGTAAAAAAAAAAAAAAAAAGGTGTCAAGACATAAGCTAAGCAGAAACGGTTCACCACAGTGTCAAAGAGTTTGGGCATAAAGAGTAAGAGGTTAAAAGTGTTCACACTACCTTAAAATCTTCAAGAGACAAAACAAATTCGGGCAGCAGCGGTAACTGAAAGAAACATACATGTCCTGAGCGCAGCAGCTGAGAAGGTCTTCTCAAAACTGCATCTGGGTTTTACAGAAAGAAGTATAAATGGCCTGTAACCACAATTCAGTTTCAGTTCAGACTCAGAGCAGTGCTTAGTTAGAAACAGAAGTGAAACGACGACCTGTCTGGCATACCCAGCCATGAGGCAGGGTGAGGGGCGTTCATGACGATGAGAAGCTGCACCATGTCGGGCCGCTCCAGTGCAAAATGCCATGCCAGCATCCCACCCCAGTCATGGCCCACCAATATACATCTCGTGTGACCTGCGAGTAAACAAATCCCATTCCAGTGCGTTTAGTGTCTAAGGCAGTTTATTTCTCACGCTGTGATTGGCCTATACCCAATTCATCGATGGTGTCTCTGATGTCATATAAGAGTGTCTCCAGTGAGTATTCCTCCAGCCGGTCGGGTGCGTCCGAATCTCCACAGCCACGCAGATCTAGCGCCACCGTGTGGTAATTACGGCTGAATTCATTCATTTGGTAACGCCAGGAGTACCTGCAGGTCACACTGATACCTTAGAACACACACACTCGGACTTGCAACAGTAGCGCTCAAAGGGAACTATTTCTAATGTTTTTGAAAGAAGTCTCTTATGCTCATTATGCATTTATTTGATCAAAAATACAGAAAAAACGGTCATATTGTGAAATATAATAACATTTTAAAATAGTGGTTTATAAAATTTGACTTAATCATCTGACTGGATCTCCTCCCTGCATCAAATATGATATAATAAAAGAAATAAAGAAATGTATATTTGAACCTATAAGAAAACAATATGTAGACAACACTTTACAAAACCGTTTACGGCAGCATATGTACAATTTTAAATAAGCAGACAGAGAAAATGAAGCAGAGGAAGTCACCAGTTCTCAGGGAATCCATGAAGAAACAACATTAGAGGCTTTCTGGGGTCTCCTTTAGTTACATAATGGAACCTCAAGCCTGAGCTCTGAAACGTAAAGAAACACCAAAAGAAGTCACAAAATAGTCACGTTATTTGAAAGACAAAGCCATTATTTTCAATAACTAGCAATCCTAGATCAATATCAATATCAAATTTGGTGAAAGATGGCAATATTTTCCATTTGACATTGACTGTAATATCACAGGGCTAGTGTGTCCCGTTAAAAACAAAGGAATGTGAAATATATTGTGAACGCCATGTTCTATTTTTAAACACAGGTGGCGCAAGAACACAAGATATGGGCAATCATTATTTAGCCGTTAATTCAACCTTTCATTACGACCTCGTACAGATTACGTTGTTTCATGTTTTTAAAGACATCAGATAAATTATTGTTCATTATAAATCATCTCACCCGGCCCTTCAGATATGCATGGTGGCCAAGTGCAGGGTCTTGGAGGCAGTCTGGGGGTTTCTTTCGGATGGTCCATTGGAAAGTTCTATACGGATCCCTAAATCCAGTCCAGGCAATTCGGATCAAAACCAAACAAGCAGTGATTCCAGCTGTGCCATACACAACGATATAATATACCAAAGAGAGAATCCATAAACTTAGCCGAGTTGGTAATAAAAGCAAGCGCATCAAAGAATGGTTCATGATGATTAGTTGTAGGGACGCTAGGGACGTGTCCCTACCAATATCCAGTGACACTGATATATCCCTAGCAATAATTTCGATCAAAACTTAAAATATATTTATATATCGATGTCCCCGTCCCCACCAATTTCAAAATCAAACCTACGCCACTGGCTGAGACATATGTCAAAGAAAGCACAGGCTTGGTGTAGCAAGTTAGCAACTGTCCCTCGTCTTTAGTTCAGCTTTTAAAATACACCCCATGTGACTGTGTGGAAACAACTGTCGCTGAGCTATTTTTGTACCACAAAATAAATTGTCTGGGAGCTTGACTTGTGCGTGAACCGGAAGTTGTGACCGACTTCACTTCAGTATTATGATGTATTTTCCCAGTGAAATGGAATATAATGAGAAAACTTTTAGAACTGAAAAGTTCTAAAAGTTCCATCCCGTTTCATTCAGCTCGCTGTCAGTGCTCGCTGCAGTCTGACTGACAGTTGGAGGAATGTTCTACACACACACACACACACACACACACACACACACACACACACACACACACACACACACACACACACACACACACACACACACACACACACACACACACGCGCCATCAAACTGACGTCATCAGCGGAGGAAAGGCCTTCTAGAGGGTAAGTTGCCAACATTTTCAGATTTCGTTCAAAGATTACAAACACAATTTGTGTGTGTGTGTGTGTGAAGACAACGGTTTAATTTAGAAGAAAATGCCTGTATTTGTTGTCAAGTTGACATAGAGACAACTGAACATCTTTGTTTTCTTCTTGTGTTTCTTCAAATACTTTTTGGGGAAAATATGTCTTATTGGTTGAATCAAAGATTCATTCACTGCCCACTTTTGCTAGGAAACATATTATGTTTGGAATGCTGTTGGACGAGAAAATAAATGCATTTTTTATTCATGTAATGTTGATTCTGGGCAAATTTTTCATTCAGAAATGCAAATGTATGAAGACGAAACCTTATTTTTCTGTATATAAAAGAGACTTGATTTGTAATTTCTTTAAAAAGGCCCAGAAATTGGCTGGAATAATAAGAGACCTTGATCTCTTATAAGAGGAATAAAGAGACCCCTTTTTTTTAAAAAAATTTTTTTAATTATTATTTAACTGATATGTGCCTTGCTTAATACTCATTTACCTGTATTTACCAATGCCATTGTAGACGTATATTCTGTTTTTGTTCTGTTCTTGGTGTTCAAAAATAAAATGTGTGTGTGTGTGTGTGTGTGTGTGTGTGTGTGTGTGTGTGTGTGTGTGTGTGTGTGTGTGTGTGAATCAACTTCACCGCAAGACTAGTAATTTGCATCAACGAAGTAAAAGTGACATTTGCAAGCAAATTCCTTGCATCCTTGACATTACATTATAAATGTAGCCTACCAACATAATGAAGGCATGTATTTTTGTACCAATAGCCTAACTGTAGGCTATTATTAAAACATAAACTCAACTTCTCCTTATAAAAACGATCGTAGGTGTTATTTTCCATAAATGTTAATCTATAAATATTCTTAATATTATAATATACTTAATATAATAACTACCACGGATTAAACTCTGACAGTGCAAACAACCCTAAACGAACTTTTCTTCACTGAGTATTAAAAAAGTATTCTTATTTGTTCTCTTTCTCTGTCTCGTGGTGTGTTCACTTGTGAATGAAGTCTCAGTGCCCGAATCCATGGTAGCCTACACATTACGCTATGTCCCTGCTCCGTAAATTCAATAAATGCACGTCCTTAAAGTGACAGTTCACCCAAAAAATGAAAATTCTCTCATTATTTTCTCACCCTCCAGTTTTTCGAAACCTGTATGCATTTCTTTCTTCTGTTGAACAGAAAATAAGATATTTTTTAAGAATATGGGTAACCAAACAATGATGGTAGCCATTGACTTGGAAGTCTATGGAAGTCAATGGGGTCAAATACTATGGAAGTCAATGGGGTCCATCACTGTTTGGGTTCAACAGAAGAAAGAAATTCATACAGGTTTGGAACAACATGAGGGTGAGTAAATGATGACAGAAATGTAATTTTTGGGTGAACTGTCACTTTAAATGGGTTTTCTATTTTTTGACCCATTTCAGGGGAGGCCAAAATTACAATTTAAAATCAGTCAGAGCTGTAAAATGAATCTTCATATTTACAGGTAAAGCTTAATATTTTTTAATAGGTCAGACCTCCTTCACACCCTGGATTTTGAGACTTTATTTCATGAAATGAATAATATAACTACTATCGGTATTTTAGAGCGGATGTGTTTTTTATTTAAATGTTTCAGCACATATTTTAGTGTTATTGTTACTTCAGAGAGTGTTTAAAGGACACCGTTCAAAGGGCAAACGGAAGAGATCGGAGTTGAGAGGGGTTTTAGGTGATCTTTCACACGTGTGACAGACAGGAGCGCTCGCTGTCCTCCCACGTCCTGTGCGTCCTCCGCGCGCATGACGTCACCGACGTCTCGAGCTGTTTGTTCTGGATTGTGGGAGAGAAAGAGCCCGCGCGCCCTCACAACAAAATAAAGAAGGTAAATAAACAAGCAGCCTTTACACTTATGCAAAGCGATTATTTCTTATTAACGGTCCCGGCATGTGCTGCGTCGTTTCGTGTAACGGTCAAGCGCGCTAATCAGCGCTGAAATGATTGTCTGGTGCTCGCGCGGTGAAAGCGGCCTGTGTGTCGCCGAATGCTAACGCTAGCTGCTAGGAAAGACAAACTCATTCATGACAACGGGTCAGTCTGGATATCATTTTGCTCTTGGGCTCGTTGCATGAGTGTTTTAGTGCTGAATTACGACACCTACATCGCGTGTGCGTCAAAGAAAGCGAGTAATGCAGGGCCCTGAGGTTGTTTATTAGCATTAGGCCGTTTGCTGGTTGAAGCTAGCACAGCATCGCATCCCTGCTCTGCGCAGCTTCGCTAAAATCTCACGTTTCCCTGTGCGGGAATGCTTGTGGATTTAACGTAGAATTGTACGAGAATGTGCGTACACCAACGCACGGTCAGATTAATTAACTCGGGTTCATTTGATCTGCGCTCGTTTCAAGCGTCTGACATTGACAGATGTGTATTAATGTGGACCGTGGTTGTTTCACGCTTTTGGTCTGGGGTGAGAGAGTGTGTGTTTTGATCGTGTGCGCGCACACACACATTGAGATACGTGCACGACGCCGGACGAGTCCGTGTCACACACCGCTAGCATTGATAGCGGGTCGGAGGAAATATGTGGCTTGTTTTCATGCTCTTAAGGCCTATTACAGTGCCTCAACCTCATTTAACCCTCCTAGTAAATGTTTTAATTCGACATGAACTCGTTTAACGTTAATACAACAGCATGGCCTCGGTGTTTAGCGACTTTGCGTGTTAAGGACTCATCCGAGCTGCCCGCAGTCGCCATTTTGTATTTGCTTCTCCGTGTAACGGAGAAACACAACCTTTACGTTTACATGAAAATGTGAGCGAGTCAATATACATATTTAAATTCGATCTTTCCGTGGTTGGTAGCATTACTATTCTTTATATTAAAGTGTGTTTTGTTTAAAACGGTGTCAGTGTAGATAGAGCTCTTGTCAGTAGCGTTATTAGCCTCGCAGCGCTTTCGGTTTGCCCTCAGAGTCAGTGAATCTTCAGATTTTGTTGCAGAAATATCAGATACATGTTTATTGCGCGGTTTAGATATTCGTAATATTACATGCAGCCAGTAAACACTTTTTGTTATACACGTAAACTTTTGTGAAGAGCAAATATTTGTGGTGTGTTTGTTATCTGACATCATAGCTCTGTGATTGACAGCTGATAAATGACTGACAGGTTTCCCTGCGTGATTTGCTTTTGTGGTCGGGTGTGATTTTAGTTACTTGGCAATTTTGGTCGCTTATTAAAGGCACAATGAAATAAATAAAAAATACTTTTTATGGGATATTGCAAAGAAAAATAACAATTTATCAGTGCACATCATTATTTTTTTATTAAATGTATGCATAGCTGCCAACTCTCACGCATTGGCCGTGAGACACCCGCATTTGATTGGTTTCACACGCTCACACGCCACACTCCCGATTTCTCACGCTGAAGTGTCAACCCGGGCGGTCAAATGCCTGGAAGATGAGTTTATCTATATATCTACCTGTTGAGCCACTCGTGATCGACTAGTTATACCGCAAATTCGTTAAAAATCTCCCGTTATCTAGAGCGAGCGTGCATGCGAGACAGAGATTGTGCTCCAAACCGCGTAGAGCGAGCGAGCGAGCGAGCGAGTCCCCCCCCCGCCCCCCCACCCCCGTCAACAAATCTCAACCATCTCTAAACCCCCACCCCCCCCCCGCCCCCCCCCCCCCCCCCCGTCAACAAATCTCACGCCGAGCAAAACTCAAAAGTTGGCAGGTATGTACTGTATGTACCTTGGTAATCTATAATCGAAATAACTTGCTTCTCTGATGACTTGTTTACTGGCACTAGGGCGGGACAACCTGCCACTCACACAAGATCACAGCAATAGCAAACCACAATGATCCAATCAATTCCTGATGGACAATATCAAGTCATGCTTTTTTTTAAAGTTTGTTCAGGGAGGCGTTTCACTCGGATATGAGTCACAATGGGGAAGAAAGGGGTGTTGAATATCTGTTCGTCTGTTATAGGACAACTTAGTTTGAATAAACAAGCAGACACTGATTAGCTACTGGCTCTACGTTTATTTAACATGAACAGCAAGACAACTATAAGTGAATGTGCTTTCCATTAAATGTATCACACAGTAAACAAATCCTTAACTAACAAAACAAACAAACGTTGCAATGAACGTGCTTTTTAAAAATAAATAAATCACACACAGTAAACAAAACCTTAACGAAAAAACTTTGGAATGAACTTTGCAATTTAGACGGGCCAACTGGGTGCCGGTGCGGTGAGACGTACATGCTCGGGCAGATTCGGCTTGAAGTCGTTCGGACGCGGCGCCGCGCGCGCTGTTACAAAAAAAAG